GCTTGTAGAAAATCACTTATCTAAAACCAATGTCATAAATATTTCCAATACCATCATTCAGCAAGCATCCAGGTACTAATGATTTTAAAGGAAATGGTGGCATTCTAGCATTTACAAATTCTATGGATTCAGAGAATATTGATTACAACCAGACAGTTTTAATGCAGAGTATTTGGCTCATCCTCATCTATGAAACTGCTGCAATATACTATACAAAGCTATAAATCAGTTATTAAGCACAGTTAAAACAGATGCTTGAGTCAGCTACAAGAAGTATTTAATGAATTACATTTTAGTGAATCATTTTAAATCACACAGTACCCTAATATTGCTTGAGATACAAGACGCAGACACCTCTCTCAGTCATTTCAGCCCTATTCAATCACAAGACAAATCACACCTCACAGCAACCTGAATTTGCAGCAGATGCTAAATCCCAAGCACGTAAGTAATGGTCTGGCCCGCTCCCATCCCTCTGCACCACAAAAACCATCAATCCCCCTAAAAGATCTTCACTAAACAACAGGTTCAAAACTTAAATGCAACTCGTGTGTAACCATGTAAGTTACTGAAAGAGCATGGGAAGAAACTGTGATTTCTTCAACATCTTGCATCCACTTTGTGGAATGCATTCTATGTTGGCTGCTGTGCATAAAGATGTCTCAGACACCATCAGCAGATTTCATTTCCATTCACGGCTGATAAAAGATATTTTCTGATAATACTGGATTCTTGAAGCATTTCGGCTTACACCCAAATGTAGGCCTACCCCACTGACATTCAAATATTTTGTCCTTCTTATAAATCATTACTTGCTATAATTCAATTAAAACCACATAAGCACTAGGCTGATAACTTCTGTAGGAAGGACAAATTATGGTATATAACATACCACAGTATTGGCTATTATTTAACTTAAAGATAAATAACTTTATACTTCCTCTGCCAGAATACTAGCTTTGCAACATGCCTCCAAGGAATAATGCTCTTTTTATAGTTAGCAGGCTGCACAGAGCAGCTTTTTTCTCTTGGGCAACACACCGCTACAGCAGGAGCAAAGGCAGCTCTCCCTCAGGGAAACAATGCGGAGGCCAGTCAGCCAGCTTCCTTGCTTGCTTCTTCCCTCCTTTGGGTATTTTCTATCTTACCAACCCCTGAAAAGCATCAATGAAACAAAGCCATCCATTTAAAATTAATTAATATGAAAGCATAAGAGCTAGTAAGAGCTGATAAGAGGAATAAGAAGATGCTTCACACAGAAAAAGCAGTATATAAACACAAGACTGGCAAAAATCTCACTCATAACACAGGAGAGAAATCCCATTCAGAAGGAAAAGCCAATGTAAGCGAAGAATCCATTAATTTTGATTTCTGTGGAGGTTACAGGCCTTCTCAACATCACAGAAGAAAACCCTAGAGGACTACATTCTCATTTCAGTGCACATTAAATGATGCTTCTTTGATCCATCTTCTGTGCAAAGTCCACATTACAACGAGCTATCACCCTCTGCTTCTTGCTGTAGACTCACTCGTCATCTCTAGTTAGGGAGATTTACCTTCGTCTGTGCTTCCCTGCTTTTACAAACATATAGATATATCCAGGTCAGAATATGCCAGTTTACAGTGTTTATGTGTCTGAGAAGTCTAATAAAATTTCACTGTATGTAATACTATTAGATTACAAGGCAAGCAAGCTGGCTCAGATAAATCATGACATACAATTTCCCTCCACAGCCACAGTACTCAAACAGCGGCTCTTCCGGAGTCCACACTAACCACAAGGAATCTGCAAGTACTATCTTAGGCAGCCCGCTCTATGCTTATGTTTACTACAGTGTTTCAAGCAGCCAGTAAATACCCCATCTGAAGCTTTATGGATTTATAAAGCAAAAAACGAGGGAGAAGGGCAGGTGTTACATCAGTCTTAAGAACTTCGTAGTCTAATATTCTCTGCCCTAAAACAGAAAACTTGATAGCAGAAGACAAGTCTGACAGTGTGAGATATGTCTGACAAGGAGACTAAAATTAAAGTAGGAAAAAAAAAGAATAAAAAACTACCCTAGGCTTAATCTTAGTTCTCAAAATAAATAATTCTTGAAATTTAATACAGCCCTTGCATTTCCAAATGTAACAACTAATTTCAAAAAATTAGCATTAAAACCAAAATTTTTAACCAGGGAATACTTATAGTCTTTGCAACATCAATATGCTAATATTGTTAAAAGCACTTTCAACAAATAATTTCCATAATGTTAACACAACTGCTAAATACTGTGTATCTGCTTATATAGCTGACCTCCTTTTTATGTATAAGAACATTGTACTTCTAAGTAAGTCCTATGAGTTCTATGATAAGCTGAAAATTCTGACATATTTAAGCAAAATTCATAAATAGGGCAGCTAGTTAAAAATGAAATCAGAAGCTTCTAACACAGTTGTAACATTTGACAAGGTCTTTCACCTTATCCAAGGTTTCTTCTTTTATACAGGACTGCAGAGAACAGGGTTTTCTTTCTCCCTGTGGTTGCAAAACAACGGAGACATAGTACGCACACAGCCAAGGGCCACACTAAGAAAGGGAGAATAGAGCTGCAACTCTTGCTATTAGAAGAACTAACACTGGATGCCCCTCATTTCACACCATGGCCTACCCGCCAATGTCAAGGTGGGTATTTCGAACATTCAGCAAAACCAGAATGTTCTAAGGAATTCACATAAATCCCTTTTTACTTCATCAACAGTTTAAATAGCCCCTGCTCCTTTTGCCTCGTTCCCTTCCCTTGTTACAAAGTTGGATGGGCCCACCCCATCTGTGTTCAAAATTCAGGGCACATGGTATCTGGAGCCAGCCTAACCCTCCTCTTGCTCCTTCTTCCACGGGAGGGGCTAGGGAACACACAAGGATGAGAAAGCAATGGTGTCCCTAACAATAGCTATTTTACAATTTAAACCAAATGTAATGTTTCCTCGTACAAAAACGTCCTGAGCCCAACAACCGCAGCAGGACTGGCCTGTTCTTCTGTCAACAAGAAGCATAATGTAACTACAGTGAAACTGCAGAACACTTGTTAAAAGCATAAATCCAAAATTAATTCAACCTTTGTGGGCACATTCATAATGTCCCAACTGGATGATCACACACTAATGTTTCCCCAGGACTCTTAGCACTTAGAATAGCATTAAGGTTTTTTTTAAAAAAAAAAAACAAACTCCCAAGTGATCTAGCTGGGCACACACTCTACGTTTATACTCCCAGACTCTCTGAAGCATTTGATCTTACTAATTAATGCACTGTGTCACCCTAGAAATGTATCAGTGATCCCGTAGTCAAACCGGGTCCCAAGTCCTCCCTTGAAGGATGCTCCAACACACAGCAACAGGAAAAAAGTTATTAACTACAACCAGGTCATTACTATGTCCTGACATCCGAGAGGTTTCAGGTGATACAAGTAAAACTGCTGGAAAACTGTTAAAATTACTCAGTGATGTTCCAAACTACCTCCTAAATCACCAGTACTTTTCATAAAACTTCTTGGTACATTCTTTTACACCAAAGTTTCTCATTTCAACACTTCCTGAACAACACTTCCTAATTCACTCTCCAATGTACAAAAACAACATGAAACTTTCTGTGTATTTCAAAAAATGTGAAAGCAATGTAAAAGCTGGGAGAACATCACTCTGTAACAGAAGACGAAACCTTGTACTCCACTTTGTTTTTAAAACAGCAATTTCTTTTCTACAGGAAACTTGAATTTATTAATAAATATAAGCTACTGCTAGGCAGTGGCTGTGCTGGGGCAAGACAGCTCAGGCTTAGGGTAACAGGAACAGAAAGGTAATTCCAGGAGCATCCTCTTCCCATAGTTCTCGGACAAGCTGGAGACCCGCAGCAGCTTCTGCACAGCAGAGGCGAGAGTGCAGGCAGCGGTTCGGGTGTTGTGCAACCATTCATCCTCAAAAGTTAGCTGATAAAAGTAGTTTATACACTTCACTAAATGCTAAAAGCAAAAACGCAGCTTATAAATGCAGCTAGTGGGCCGATTAGCATTAAGTTCATGACAAGTGCCCTGTACTGTTAAGTAACAGCACAGAAAAAGAAAGATTTAAAATACCAGTTGGAAAAATAAATACTTTGGTTAGCAGGAGGCTCCCCTTGCATGCATATCAGTTCAGAAAAACATCTTGCTGAGCCAGATGGCTATTTCACTTGGATCTCTACTACAGAGATATAGTTGCTAGATAAGAAAGGATACACAAAAAAAATTCTCAATATGCACGTACCAAATCTGCTTTGTAGAACTAATAAACACACAACCTTACTATAACAGTGAATTTAAAGATTAAATGAAAGCAACACTTCTTAGAGCATCAAGCAGAAAAATCCTGATTCATAAAGCTACTCGCCAAGAAAAGGGAAGATCTACATGAATATTTTAAACAAGCTTTATGATAAGTGCAGGCACTCTCTCCTCTCTCTCTCTGAGAGTGGCTCAATTCCTAATGGCAAAGGTCCTACTGAAAGTAAAAATCATGGTTTGAGGGTTATGTTATGGTAAAGATCGTTTGTTACATTTTGTCAGGAAGTAGCTCATCACATACTGCAATTTCATTCCCAGAGCCAAAAACTGTGGTGCAGCATCAAACTTATGACTCAAAGTGGCAGCTATTTAGAGAGGTATAAGCAAATCAGGAAGTGATAAGAGTTAAAACTGTCACAATTTCCCAGGCACTCAAATCATGTTTTTGAATTAAAGCAAATAAAATATACTTAAAGTAAATAAAATTATTTCATGCTAATAACAAAATCATAAAAGTGTAAGTCACATCACTCATCTTTTAGGATTAATGCTGACCTCCAATACATACGGACAACACTTCTGACTTCAAGGGAGTATTCTGCAAAAAGCAGAATCTTCTCTTTTCTCTTCCTCTTTACTTGGAGTGTGTCCAAAATAAAATCATTAAGATGCATGAGCCTTACTGTAAAGCGCACTTACCGGTGCAGGATTATCTTTAGCTTCCACGCCAAAAACATTCCGTCGTTTCACTGTCAGCAAATCAAGATTGTTAGTATCATCATCATCATCGCTGAAGTCCTCATCTTCGAAGAACTGCACGGATTCCGGGTTTGGTACCCTGCTTGGAACTTTTTCCTCTTCCTCCTCCTCAGATACCTCTTTAGAGTCATCCTCTGACTCACCACTCTCCTCATCACCTTCACTAGAAGCAGAATATTCTTCCCTTTCCTTCCTTCTCTCCTTTTCCTTTGTTTTGTTAAGAGATGCCTTTTCATTGAAATTAGTTCCACATTTCTCCACTCCTTCCGCATTTACTGAGGAGAGAGTATTTTTATTTTGCTCTGTCTCCTTCAGGTGATCTGTCCCATCAGCTGCCTCACTCGCACACAGCTGTTTCCGCACTTTCTGAAGAAATCTCACACGAGGTGCCATTGCAAGACCAAGTGATCTAAAGCATGGAATTAAACAAATAAATTAGTCTGGATAGTAGATTAACAAAATTTGATTAAATTAGAAGCCCTCATTAATTCTAACTATGACCAACATATTTACAAAACGGTATTTGGGCTACAACAGGACAATCTAGCTCGAAAAACGCAAGTGAATATTGGGAGAGGAGGGAAGATGAAGAAACTGAGAACTCTCAAGAACCGTTACAAATCCTCCCAGGAAAGAGACCAAACAAAGAACACTAAAAGCAAATTATCTACGATTCACAGTAAAACATAGTAGAAGAAACACCAAGGTTATTCAGTATTGAAGATACACAGATGTCACGTCGAGGACTGAGACAGCACTGATCCCTGTCAGTGTCCTTCCCTGCAAGAAGTGCGTGCAGAACATTATCCCCATCATCTCTTGGTGACGGCAATATTAGAAGACCAAACACAGTATGGATAAATGCCTAACTGCAGAAAAAGCTAACTGCAGAAAAAGCTAAGGGAGAGCTATTTGTACTTTAAAAGAAATTTCACCTCCCTGCACCCCTCCAGAGAAAGGCTTTATCTTCTTCAAGGCATATGTAACCAGCAGTGCTAGCAATACTGTCATTTTACCCAGTTACTCATGACAGTTCAATGTTACACTAATACTCTATGCATGAAGCAACAAAAATTAGCAAGAAAGCAAAAATACTGTATTGCAACAATACTGGAGAGATTGCATGAGAACGGATGCTCCGTCTCCAACAGATCATTTGACTTCAGTAAACTTTGTAATTGGCTGCTATTATTACACCTGACTCCATCAAACCAAATTCAAAAAAGCAATATTTAAGTTTCTTTCAGCTTTCGCATTAGGGGAGTAAAATATTTGGGGGAACACTGGTACCGTACAAGGCACACAGAGGCACCACAGCTACATTTAAAAAATGCATAACACAGAACTGACAGTGTTTGTAATACTCATGGCTTGTCCATACACTTACCAAAAGAGTAAAGTATTTAACCAACTAAACCAGCTACATATATAGACGCACATGTGTGCACACACATGTATACAAAAGACCAGTCTCTTTTGACTAACATTATGCAGTTTTACACCACCTTTCCTCTCAGTGCTGCTCATTTCAAGCAGACAGCATGATGTCTTTTCTGCACCACACTGCTCTGAATAAAGTAACCTGAGTTATGCCACTGGAGAAAACTTTATACTCGCTAGTGGGAATGTCATTATAAACACTCCATGAAGCATCCAAACAGTACTGCAGAGCAGCAAGAGGGGCCCTGGAGAGCCTTGAACTGTTAACAGTAGCAAATGGGACGAATATGCAACAGGAGAGGCACCCTGCTTAAATAACAAACAAACAAAAATGGCACCCAAATGCAACCACACCTGTGGTTAAACAGGGCAGTTTTGGTGCCAACCACCAGTTAAAACACTGAAGAAGTGGAAATGCACCCAAGAAGCAGCCCACACTCTTGGGATGATGAACAAGTTTTTAAAATAAATGAAGCCTCAATTTTAAAGGAGACTTAATGCTGTATTTCTGATAACCCAGTACTGCTCTTCTATAAACAATTAACAGAAATAATAAATAAGACTTTAATGAAAAAAAGATCAAAGGAAGTGTGTTTTGCACATTTACCGACAGCGCACTGCTGAGAGGATAACACAACACATTTGAGAACCGAAACTGGAGCACGCAGTAATCTTAAACATGTTTCAGTGTTTGACAGCTAAGACTAATTACCTTTGCAATGAAACTATGTGTTGAAGTTTGGCCTGTTGACTAAATGAAACAAAAATAACCAAAGCAGATGTAAGTTTTCACTGCAGCAGCTGGAAGGGATTCAAACCTGGAATTAGGTCTTAAACACAAGGCACAGTAAAACACATTTAAAAAGAGACTGCTGCAATGTCAACTAATGTGCAATCTCTTCAGTAAGAGGATTGAAGTAGCAAAAAAAATCCTTTGCAAGAGAAACACTTTTTTTGTTTTTCCACATTTCACATTATTCTACATGCAGTTGCTGTCCACTGCTGACAAAGTACCTCAAGTAGTAGTGCTGTGTGGCAACCACACAAGCTGTGTTCACTTCTCTTTATCATGCAGACAGACACAATGTACACAAGGTTGCAAATGCAGAATTTTTCACAGTTTCTCTAGTATCAAAGATCAGGATCACGGCTGCAGTGAACAATCTGACAAGGTGAAGAAACTCCTCTCTCCACAGGAAAAGTTTAAAAAAAAAAAAATCCAAAAGAACAACCCATGATGTGGAGGAAACTTCACCACAGCTTTTCTCTTTCAAATATGAGAAAACTCCACCCGCCAGATTGCTGTTCTGCACTGATGTCTTACTTTAATAACTGCATTAAATTAATTATCAGTTAGTGTTGGCCAATTGTTTTTTTTACACTGCTAAGCAACTCTGCCAAAAAAGACAAGTGCTATCAGAATTCAAACAGCCTCTGAACCAAAAGAATACAGCTCTCAGACTCGAGGGAGAGGAAAGGTGTTAAGGTCGAGTTTGGTGAGAAAGTAAGAGTAGATAAAGTTTAAAGAAAGTTGAATACAAACAATCCCCAAACAACATCAGTGATGTAATTTCTCAAACAAATGTCAGCATTTTGGCTCATAACTGCCTCTTTTGCACAGTATATTCCAAACAGAGAACAATTTGAGACAAACACTGTCTACTGAGAAAAGTTTGCTCACATTGTAAGATTTGACAGTTTCTTTAGAACTTACTTCTAAATCATTAGCCAAATCTGGAGTTCAATCAAGCTAAAAATCTGAATATATGAATCAGCTTTTCATCAACTAGGAAAGGCAGTACTAGCTTTTCACTAATTCATTAGATGCCACTCAGACCACAATCTTACTCCAACTGAAATTACAGCTGTTCTTTGATTTTTGTGTTTTCATGCACTCTTCTGGAATAAGAAACCTGTAAGGTTTTCTCATAAAGACAGACAAAAAGCAGGTAAGTCATTTAGTGAGTTTTCATGAATTCTAACCCAGAACACTAAAAACAAGCAAACACCGCAATGTAGTCCTCACACTACAGTAGCCTTTAAATGTCAACACAAACTCAGCTGACAAACCAGAAACCAATCCTGCTTCATATTTTGCTGCAAATACAATGACTTCTTGGGAGAAAGCTTGTATAGAAACACATTTTAAATCAGCTTCTAAGAGCAATACTGAAACCAATGGATTATTTTGCTACTATAAATGAAAGCACAGCTGACAGTTCTATTCATCAACAGAAACTGAGGTGGCCAGACATCATCATTCCCTAACACTGATGGGAGATGCAAATAAGTAACCAAAACACCTACAATGCTCAGGGATCTGCTTCAATTCAAAACAAGTTGACAAAGATTTTCAGAAAATAAGTTCAAAGAGTAAAACTCCAAAGAACAAACTATCCCTTCTGTTTGCTACTGAGTAAGGAAAAATCAAACATTAGTAATCTTTCTTTTTTTTTCCATTAATACAAATGAATGGTGTATCAGACTTAAAATACTGCCTTTCCTGAGGTTTGTTAATTAAGCTTATACAAAGACCTTAATTGTGTTTACATTAACACAGTAAAATCCTCAGGCCTCTATTTGGGTTGGGTGAAAAGCTGAGCATCTCTCAACTCTTTAAAAAATGGAATCTTAGACACTTAAAGCAAAATCTGCCCTTGCACGAAAGAAATTAAACAGGAAATTTAAGACCAGTACAACCTTTTATTTCTAAGTGACACAAGAGTTCCTAATCTGCGCCTGGAATAATTCCAGTCCTTTTTCGAAATATGAGCCAGTCGTAAAGAATCTGCGGTCAATTCTGTAGAACTGCTGTACAACAATTTTACACAAGTTAGTGCTTCCTTCTAGTAAGATGTTACTATATTTACTAAATATTTAGAAATATTCCATTTGTGAACTCCTTCAGAAAGATTTGAACATAGTGAGTTCTGCTACTGTAGAACAGGTTCAGATAAAAATTTAAAATAGCCTGAAAAAGGTTAAATACTCCCACAAGCTATTTCAAGAGAAGAGATGTGTATTACTTGCCTTTCAGTATATGTTACATCTATATTTAACACTTAAAGTGTTCAGAAGACAGGATGAGCAACCATTTGAAAACAGGAGAAATGAAATCAACTGAAGTGACACAAATCTGAATTAACAGCCTTCCCAGATGGTGTGATTAATAACCAAAACAAGGAGAGAAATTGCTTTTGCTGTGTTACTTATTTTACTAGCCAGCTTTAGCCTTCTAAATTAAGGAGCTCAAATGCATGGTACTCTACTAGCAAAAAGGTGGGCCAATCTAATCAAGAGTTTATGGGTCTAGGAGAGCCAATCTAATCAAGATTTTCTGGGTCAAGGAAAGTCAATCTAATCAAGAGTTTATGGGTCAGGATCAAGGAGAAAGCCAAAGAGGATGTCACGGTTGAATCCAATCATTCAGAAGACTAATATGGAGGCTTCTTTACAATAGTAAAAAAGCCTCAACGCTACAGTTACAGGCCCTGGTGCTCTCGGTACCTTAGCCACCCTGGCACTGCTCGAAGGACAACACAGCAGAGCACAAGCAACAGAGATTTCTAGAGCGCATTTAAGACCATGTCTCCAAGTTGGCTGGATTAGCCAACTCTGAAAGGCACTCTACTGGAACTGCTACTCATGCATATGCAAGCGCATTTACTTGTAAGGTGAGTGAAGGTCAATAGCACGCTTGGCTGCAAAATGAGAAAAGGTAGTTCAAGATCCTAGAAGCAACAAGGATGATGACTAAGAGAATAATGACCCTGGACTTTGAGAGAGGAGACTGCAGCTTGTTCGGAGACCTGTACAGCAGGATCAGAAAGTTCAGAAGCTTAGAGAAGTAGTTACAGAAAGCTCAGAAAGGGATGGCTGAATCTCCAGGTGGTTGAGGGTGAGTTGCGTGAGAAATGTCTAAACTCCACAGACCATTGGAGGGAATATTGGTCTGTAGGAGTTATGCTATACAAGGCTGAGATTAACTAAGGGACAACATGAGAAATACTAAGTCTGGTTATAGGCCTATTAAGACTGAACATAACTGAAAGTAATCAGGGGCAGGCTTTTTAGTTGGAAGGAGACTGGAGTGTAGAAAAGGACGTACAATGGCAGCAAGAAGGAGGGCTAAGAACCAGCAAAGAGATGACCCGATGTGCAAAGCCTGTGATGGGCACTGCCTGGGGAAAGTGGCGGGCAGCCCTGCCCAGGCTTACAGCAGCCCCAGCAAGGGGACAAATGAAACCCTCTGCCCTGGCCAGGGTCAGGCTTACATCCACGGTCAGGAAACTGAGGTGAGAGAGCACTGGGTGCTTGTCCTGGTCAGCAGGAGGACAGACAGATAGGGACTGATGGATCATGTATCCTGGTATCACCATTTCAGACCCAACACCACCTGCAGCTACCTACTGTTTCGTAACACTGATCTGTAATCAATGCTCGCAAAATTAGCTGAGTACTAAGTTGTGTGCATCAGATATTTCCCAAAGAACTTGGCTTCAACCTCCTTCATTTATTCTCTGTATATCAACAGAGAAAAATATGCTGCATTTCTTCTGGAAGACATGATGAAATTCACAGAGGATATTGCCTTCCTTGGCAGCCCCTTAGAGTTGAGACTAACCTGCCCACCCAGCACACTTGCCTGTTAAGATCTGCCCCTGGAGACTGATAGATACATACCAGTCGTTTTTTCTTAGAAGGACAGCAAACTTTTGACAATCAGCATGCTGTTCTAGGAATATATATATATAAAATCACACACATATATACACACATATATATATTCACACACACATATATACATATATGTTAGCATTTAACAAAATAAAGTGCCAAAGTAAAATATTTTGATTCCCTGCCTCCTCTTTATCTTGTTTCCTATTCAGGAGGCCAGATTAACTAATTATTCCTTTCCACCCTGTTGTTTGTTTACATTTTCTCATGTTTTCAAAGCTGTCCTTTGCAATAAAAAGACAAGTTTTTCTTTTATGCAAGCATCAAGGTTCTTCACCAAACTTAAAAGCTGCCTATGTTAACACAAGGCCTGTGCAAGTCTTCCTCCAGCAAATTATTCCTGATAGCAACTTGTAATGAGAGGGTACTGGAAGGAATATTAATGTAACACATCTTAAAAGCAATCAGTCTCTAGACTATATGTGTATAGTCTTATACTTTTTTCTTTTTATCCTTTTCTAGATATACAGTAGTTTTATGTAATATGAAAATAATTTTATATAATATATAAAAATCAAAAAGACTACTGTTTTTTCTGCAGATTTGATCAACAAAGCTTAAGAGAATCTCAGCGCACAAACAGGCCAGACAAGAGAGCAATGGAGAAAGGAGGCAACAGCCTGACAGACTGAAATGCAAACCTGACAGGGGCATTAAGCAGCCTATTTTCTCAGCAGGATTTTCAGTGGAGTAACATCTATCAAGCTAGCAGTAAATCTCCACAGACAGGCTGAAATACTTTTCGGAGAATATGCACAGACAGTAAAGGGAAGAAAGGATTCTCACTCCAGGTTTTGCTACGAGTTTGTGCACAAAACGTAAGCCAAGGTTGCTTCTGAATGTAGAATTCAAACACATCAGAGCTTGAGGGCCTTTCAGATAAATTAAACTGTATCGGCAGATGTGCAAGACAGGGGACTGCGGGGTGTACTTTGGGAAAAGAACAGTCTGGAGCGTGGGGAAGAAGAGTGCCAACAAACTGTTCATTTAGAGCAGAATCTCCAAATTATCTCCCAGATTTATTATCTTCTGACTTTTTAATTGCACTTCCATATATTTCATAGTCTTGACTAAACCTCTCCTACTCTCTCCAAACAACTGCCTGATTTCTTCCATTTTAATACAGGAATGATTTACGAGTAACTTTGCAAAGACAGGATTAGAATCGATTTTGATGAAGAACCAAATCCTGGCACAGAGGCCTGAGAAAAGTAGAACTATAGGCTACCTTGTCCACATCAATATCAGATATGAGATGGCACATCATGCTGAAATCCGGAAAGAGGCACCGGGATTCTGAAAATTCAGCATCACCACCATCTGTCAGTTCATTTCTTAACTCACTGGTTAGGTTTGCGTTGTCATCGCTCTCAGTTCTTATCTTCTGACACTACCCCTTACATTCAGTATAGTAAGACCTACAATAAGGTTTTAAAGACAGTGACACATCACACAGGTGAAGGGGCAGGGAATGCACATAGTGGAATTTTTCAAGTTTCTGTTAGTTTTCCTTTTTATAAATTTCACAGCCCATAAAGTAAGAAAGCATCTTTTATTTTAGGCTTATGTACCTTAAGAAAAACATAATCATGTTAACTGCAGCACAGCACAGGAAGACCAGGTGTTCTACAGTCTAGTAATTTGTCACATTTAAGTTCATTATGCCACATGTTGACAAGTTGGAAGACTTCAGTCTTCCCTGTATGAAATTCCAGAGACATAAAATTAATTTACTATGCAGCTCTGAGCACCTTCCTGCTCCCTTCTGACTACCCTACGTCCCATGAGATTATTCAAAAACTTCACATCTTGAAACATTCTCAGATGGTTGTCATCTGTAAAGTCAACCTGTCAAAATTAATTTTCATTCCATACAAAGTGTGGAGTGGTTCACATACATGTACAAAAATAGACATAGTAAAATAGATACTATTCAGCCCAGTGCAGATGTTTCATCTTTACCAAACGCACTGAATCTTCTCAAAGTAATTTAAGCCCAAGGAGCAACACCCCACACTCAAAATGAGACTGCAACGTATCATCTTTAGATACTCCAGTTTCTTTGTAAACAATACACTGTACAGGCTGGCATTTACCTATGAGACTGAAGGGCAAATTTTAAAAAAAATTATTTAGAAAAAAGATGAAATCAAACCCTATTGTTCTCTATCCTTTTACTTCAAAGGTCTTGTCTTCTATTCTATACAGCAAATGTACCTTAAAGTCTAAGAGCTATTCAGTTACTCCTCTCTGTAGAGATATATTTTTACACGTTATTTCTATCTAGACTGCCTTTCAAAATATGTGAAAAGCACAATACAAATATAAAACTATAAATACAAGACTGCCCAATTCTGTGTGTTGACACAGACAAAATAGCTATTTAAGCTATTTAAAGATATCACACACCGCAAAACCTTTCACTATATAGATTTCACTTATTAAGTTGATCATACTTACAGGGCATATTCTGCTAGAGGCAACTTGAAAACATCAAATACTTCCTTATTCTTCATTAAGTAAACTGAACGCAAGTAGGACACAAAACACTGTAAGAAAAATAAAAGTATTTAACACAAAAAAAATTCAATTACCAACACATGAAACTAATGTTATATTCTTGCTCTAAACACAAAAGAGATTTTCACTATTAAGTGCTCCAAACATTGATTTCGGACTGTAATTCCTTTATACACTATTCGTCAGTCTTAAGTGATACAACTTCAGGCATTCAAATATTTCATTATATGCACATTAATTGGCTGAATTTCCCAACAGTATTCCATTATTTTTTTTTCCCTAGAAAGAAAATATGGCAAATTAGTCAGAAGGAAGCATCACTGATTCAATTTTTTTCCCCTCCCAGCTTTTCTGAATTATGTGGAAGCAAGAACAGACTGCGCTGCTATCAGTCTCACGCGTCCTGACTTAATCTTGGCCATTAACAGAAAGTGATTCAACTCAACATAGTTGCCTTTCACTGTGGCCTCAGATAATTCATTTTACCTTGCATTTCCCATCAGCTCAACACATATGAGCTGCCAAGGAATGCAACTCAGCAGTGACCTAAATTCACCGTACAACATCTATTAAGGCCAATCCAAAGCTGAAGTTTCAATTAATCCCAGACTTTCAGCAAGAAAACTGGAAGCACCGTGTAACAGAATAACTTAATCTTGTGTTGCTATTTCCCTCCACCCTCTCCCATAAGGAAAGAGTCGTGCTCTTCTCATGTTTCTTTTACGTAGTCTACTTTTGCCTATCAGCAGCAGCATAAATATTGGAATAGTTTAAGTACCAGAAAAGATGCCTGGATTTCTGTTGGTCATAACCCAATTTCTAACACACGCCAAAAGCTCCTACCAAAATGCTTAAACCACCAAGCACTCGTAACAATAACAAATTTAGCCTATAGGGCTATATTCAAGCATACCATTATCTCACCCTTGTTCTGCTACGTACAAGCACCTGTCAGAGAAAATTACTGCAATTACATGTGGAATTCGAGGGGGGGGAAAAAAATATCTATCACTTGTTAACCTGAAATAGAGGAGGAAAAGACCCAAGAGTTAGGAGCACTGATCTCTTATGAGGATTCTTTAAATGCTTAGAAGAGAAAAAACATTTCCAAAGGTGAAAAGAAAGATGAGACTGCAAATTAAGTAATGTCATCAAGTCATGCTTTTCTCCTTGGCAAACAGAAACAAATAGCATTAATTGTAAGATGTGTAGAGCTAAGAGATATACTTTTCAAGCTACCCAACATTTTGTTACAAAAGCAAATTTTCATTTGCTTATTTTTCCAAATGCTAAGTTTTGAGCAAAGTTCCCTATCCAGCTTATGTCTTTCAATTAATTTTAGCAGCGGAAGGTGCTAGCACAATCCACTTGGCTGCTACCAAGAATGTGGCATGGATTACAACACTACTTTGCTAACATTAAATTATTAATTATTTTATGGAGATAACTAGAATCTTTAGGAGAAGGTTTTAAATTTGACACACTACACTGATCTATTGCTAGCAAACAGTGGCAAAAATGGCAGAGCCTCTCCTTTTTCTTTAGTGACAGATGGAAAAAAAGCAGGTTAAACACTCTGTGAATCCAAGAGTTGCAGATCTGAAGATCTACGTGAGTCACTACATGTCACAGGGTACAAATTTCATTCTGCCTGCTGGATAACCTACAAAGCTCTCCACTTACTTGACTACTGTATCTTTGGTACACATGGTCTAGAAATTAAAAAATGAAAATAAGAGGCAGAAAGAATGCACGTATTGCACATGTATCAAGCCCTACAACAACTAAGAACGAACAACCAAAGGCCAGATGTTCGAACTCACATCTATCAGCTCTCAACAGTGTTCAGTCCACTGAGACGCAAAAAAATTTTTCAAGTTTGTCATGGAGTGTACACACAGGATGGCATTGCTCTGTGTCCAAAGAAATGGGCATCTAGTTAAGGTAATAGGCTTCAAAGATCATTTAGTGGTAATATAATGATTAAAGTCCTCAACTGAGCTCATTCTCTATTATTTTAGGCATTATGAACATTTCCAGCAAAAGATATTCCCCGTTCCAAGAGCTTACACCCAAACTAGAAAAGTTAAATAGAGCATAGAAGAGTTATTCTACTTTAGAAGAAGAGAAGTGAAGGACAAAGACTTCTTCAACTTTGACTTGATTTCAGTACATTTACTTCAACCTCCTAAAATACTGTCATCTCTCTTGGATTTTATTTAACTCTCCTAGGATTGGTCACTCTATACGCACACACTGTACAGCTGAGGAAGAACATGTTTAATCAATCTGAACTTTTTTCTGCTCTTTTATCAATTTCTGTTGATTGGTTCTGTTAAGCTCAAACCAGGACAACTGCTATTTTTCCTGTTTTGATATCATTTTCAACGGCTTTAATAACTGAAGAGTACAAAATATTATAGAAATTAACTTACGCCATCATGGAAGATGCTATGGATGGGCATCAGAAACATATTACAGCTCTGTTACAACAGTTAGCTAAAGGTCCCCAAAACCACCTGAGATTAACGTGCAACTACTAGAAATACATAAGGCAACAAGTACTACGCTCGACTAATTGGCTACATTTAAATTTTGATTTACTGATATAGTTCTTGGATAACTGTTTTTAATGCTGTTAACTGATGTTTTGACAGAATTCAATGTAACAGGGCGGGACTGGATTCTCAGGCTGTAACACCCTGCACATCCCTCTGGGTGCGATGAAGAACTTAACAGGCAAACATCGCTTCGGTGTCTCAGTGCCCCCTACGCAGTAACATTAAAGCTAGCGAGAAAAACACATTCTTTTTTAATCTGTTTTTCAGAACTGGATGAATTGACACATTAACTATCAAAATTACAAGAAATGCCAAAAGGTAACATCAGTCCATGAGAGGGACTGCAAGGGTTTCAAAGGAGCCCCAATCTGATTCACTCTT